CGTCGTGTATGCACAAGATGGTAAATTTATTTAACAAATTCGGTTTATTTTTGGGGGGTTTAAATGGAGATCTCTAATGGGTTTCACAGATGATCCACGATTTTCGTTTTAATAAGCTGGACGAGCATTTAATTTGCTTGGTATTCATTAAGCACACTTAACAGAGATTCCGTTCAAGTTGATAGGGTACTTGTTTAGCTTTAAATCAATCCAATCTGGCCAACGAGGTGATGGTATAGCATCCTTTGTTATGCTATCTTTAAGTATTCTTACAAAATTTAACCAAAATTCGAAGTACCCTAAAATTCTTTGCTTTCGTAGCTTAATTTAGCTATATTTAATAACATACAGCCATACGTTATTAGCTATATTAATTACAGTACCGATAAATATTTTATTATTTTATAAGTACTAATTGATATTTTAGCTATATTAACAACGTAATAGCTATACTTAACCCTCTATGGGCCCGTGTAACTTTCGAGTTACATGCTAATGTATGGGTATTCTATTAAATACTGCATTCAACGTTATCGTCTTGATCACTCCAGTTCGCGATTTTTCTTTCGATATATTTATAATTATTTTTACAATACCTCTCGTGGGTCCATTTTTAAAAATTCTAATTCCTTTTCATTTACCGGTTATTCGATTATGATAGGTTAGGTTCTCTATGGCCCCCTATGACCTTTTCTCCACAAGATGGCGTGGAAAATTATCTTGTCTATCTAATTTGTCTATCTATTGCACATTATCTTGGCACAATAGTACGAATGTTGTTAATTCAAACTTTCAATATGAATTCGTTATAACAAAATTCTCAAAACTGCTGAATTTATTGCTCATATTTGTTGATTTTATGTTACATACAATTCTTATAGTCAAGAAAAATATATATTCGGTGCATAGAGGGTTAAATAACATCGAATTAACCGTTGTTGAACAACAGGGAATACAAATAAAACCGCCAATATTGACAAATAACAAACAAATAACGGTAAAAATATAAATTAAAAATGATAAAGATGAGGAAGAATTAAGAAATAAAATTTTCTGACAATTCAAAATCTCTCAGAAATATCTACAATCAGTAATTATTACATAATTATTATCATTCTTTCCGTAAATATAAAACATTTACAATTAATGGCAAGAATTTTGTTACTATCTTCTTATTCCTTAAATCTTGCTGTAATTAATATTCAGGTTTCCTTAAGATGACTAACTGTCAGGCATAGAATCTGTACACAGGCTTTTAGCGAGCTGCAATTATGCATCCGAGAGGACGATAAGGTCGAGATGTGTGACCTTGAACATGAAAAACAGCGCGATTTCGCTTAATTTATTAGCGACTGCTGGAAGCAATGCGAATAAGTGGGTAAGATCATACAAGGAGGCTGTGGATAGCTAGCGTACAAAGAACGTGTTAGGTTTAGCGACTGATTGTTCCAGCCAAAGGTCACGGTTAGCGTAGAACGTAGGCTGTGAAAGCCGTGGAGGATACACATTATGCCTTCGTGGATTTCATGGGTCCAAAAGCGTGTACAGCCTGTACCGTGCAACGAGAGAACTCGTTTCTATTCATCTTTCCAAAGTTAATTACACGCGTGAGATTAAAACGAGTTTGTAGAACTGTTTATAGAACTGGCCAGTTACTAGGCTCAACAATACAGTGATTCTCATTCCATTTCATCCAGATTCTGCTTTATTTTCGTTGAAAGGATAAGTTTGGTTATGTACGAAAATCAATCTAAAATATAAAATGCGTGTTGAAAATAATTTATAATTTTGTAATAATTATAATTCTCTGGACAATGATGCAGCTGACAATGATTTATTTATGTCTAACCTGTGTGATCTGGTGATGCTAATATCGGAGATATGGACAGTGGTGGCGCTAGGTTAGCTCTTGATCTGGTAATGGAGTGTTGAAAATAAGATACGTTTTAACGT